AATTAAAATTTGAAGATGAAATTGTTTTTGACCTATTTTACTTAAAAGATGAAATTTTTTGACACTTTTTTTGAAGAAACGAAATTATATATTTACCTAAATTAGATTTGCTCTTGCATATAAAAAATTCTAAATTGCTTTAATAAAGATGAAATAGGGTTTTTTTGAAAACCTATTTCAGTAGCATGTATAATTAGTATAATTTAATTTAAAGTTATGTAATTTTATTGAATCTATTATACCGAGTTAATAACTTAACCAGATTGGCTAAAAAATTATTTGACTAATATTTATTAGATATTTCAGAAATTATGATAACAATAAAAAAAATTTACATTAATTTCTGAACTATAGTGATATCAAGTTATTAAAGTTAGTATTTATCTATCTGATCTTTATAATTTTTATTTAGTTATAGCTATTTGTATAATTTCTGAAATATTTAATAAAAATTAACCAAATAATACTCTAGCTGATTCGATTAAATTTGTAATTGCAGCAAAATTGTATATTTGCATGTAAGTACATATATGTGTATATATACAATTTTTATATTAAATAGCTAATAGTGCATTGTTGCATTTAGATAGAGTTTGGGTCAAACCTAGTAATTTGCAAGTTGGGCTAAGTTCGTGCCAAACCTCATAATTTAATAAGCTAGACTAGGCCTAAATTTTTAGACCTGTAATTAGTTAGACAGGGCTTAGAGCAAATTTATAATTTAATAGACTGAATATAGATTTAGACAAACTTGGCTCAACTCAGCTCATTCCAGACTCTAATCTAAACCTTCAATATTAGATCAATCTAAACCTTCAACATCAGATCAATTTAAACCTTCAATATCAAAACAAACTAAATATTTAACATTGAATCACTTTGAATCTTCAATATTATACTTTGAACCTTTAATATTGAATTACTTTGAACCTTCAATAGTGAATCAATCTGAACTATCAATATTAAGTCAAATTAAAACTTCAATGTCAAATCAGCTTGAAAAATGATCACCATTATGAAATATTTAAAACACATGATTGTATTATCAACTTTTTTATAAATATGCTAACAAATCACTTGCCAAATATCAAAATCGAAAGATCAAATATTAAAAAAATAAATATCTCTTTGAACATATTATTAATAAATTAATATTCCAAAAATAGATCACAACAGTATTAACCAGCATACTTTGCTATACAAAATAATTAATAAACTACCAAACAAAACATATTGTTTGCAATAAAAAATAGAATTATTGATACTACTTATTGCACAAATAAATTTATACCACTTGGACTAACTGAATATAAAAACTTAATATTTGTCAAGATGATATTATTAGTATATGCAAAGCAGTAAGAATGCAATCAACATCTATTATAACTGGAACAAATTGCAATTGTAAAGATGAATACAAAAATAACTCTTGAAAATACAAACATTTTAATATAGTATATGGTGGTAGTGAATATTATTCATATAATATTAAATATATTAATAGAGTATAAAATAATATGCTTTATTTAAAAATATATTATTTTTAAATACGTTTTGCTTATAAAAAATATTAAAAAATATATTTTTTAAAAAAAAAATTTCTAAAAAATATATTTAGGCTATACAAATTTAATATCTTGGTTTTCATAATATGAAACTTTTAAACAGACCTGACCGGCCAGCTTTTTTTTTAATTTATATATAAAAATTTTATAAAATTTTTTTAAAAAACCTACCCGATTATTAAAACATATAAAAAAATTTTTTTACAAGTTTTCAAATTTTGACCTGACTAGGTTATGAAAACCAATTAATTAATTTTGTATAGCCTTATAATAAATTTGCTTGTTTATTTTTAAAATATTAATTTTCACTTAAATTATTTAGAATCCAAAGTCTACTTATATAGATTCAGAATTAACTTAGATTGATTCTGAATCTACAAATATTTTGTATCTATCTACAACATATATGAATGATTAAAAAATATATTTAAATAAGAAAAATAGAATAAAAGACTAAAACTAAAATAAAATACTATAAAATAACAAAACAATTAATTAAAAATGACTAAATTTACTTGAATTTAAATCAAAAAATATTAAAAAAACAATAATTTTACTATAACAATACAACAAATACTATAAAAATACTAAATAATAGTTTATTATTAAAAAATACAAAATAATAAGGTTTATTACAAGAATATAACTAAACCAAGAGTTAAATATACCTAAAATAATAAAAATAATCAAAAAATAAAGTATAAAGTATATATTAATATCTCTTTATTTTAAAAAAAGATATAGTTTAAATATCTTTTAATAATAATATTATATATTACTATGAACTATATAATAATACTATAATATCTAAAATTAGTAATAAAGCCAAATAGTTATTAATATATTAATCTAAAATATCTTGAAGTACTATTTGTACTTGTATAATCTTAGTTTAAGCTTTAATTATATTAAATGAACTAATAATTAAATATTTAAACAAATATTGTTTTAAATAAAATTTTACAAAAAATATACTAATAAAATATGTAATAAATTATTGTTTAAGTATTTAAAGTAAATAAAATATTAATATTAAATACTAAATACAACTTTTCTAACAATCACTTATACTAAACTTATGTCTAACAAAAACAAAAACTTGTTAAAAGTTGAAAAGACAACTACAAATATCAGTTTTTATAGAAATTAAGGTTTATTTTGCTTTATTTTTTTGGTACCAGACCTTTTTGCATATTTATCAAGCAAGTTAAGTCATTTTTTGTTTATATAAACAAAAAATGACTTAGATTAGACTATTATAGTCTCAGGTATGACAAGCATTTTGCATTTGCGTCGTTATTCGAGTGATGAACGATTCGCACTTGCGTCGTCAGAGATATATTAGTATTCGCTCTATCATTCGAGTGACGAATAATTCGCACTTGCGTCGTCAGAAATATATTAGTATTTGCTCTATCATTCGAGTGACGAACAATTCGCACTTGCGTCGTCAGAAATATATTAGTATTCGCTCTATCATTCGAGTGATGAACGATTCACGCTTGCGTCGTCATTCGAGTGACGAATGATTTGCGCTTACATTGTCAGATATATTAGTATTCGCTTCATCATTCGAGTGACGAACGATATCACTGTGTACTGACCAAAAAAAAATATATCGACTAAGTGACCCCCTTGTCCCTGAACAAAAATTCTTTGGGGGACACAAAAGGAGAACAGAAGAAGTTATCATTTTTGGATCTTTAGATTTATTAATTATGTTCCTTTATATTATTTTATCATTGTCCCTAGTGTCCTTAAGAAAAATAAGAATCTAGAAAAAATCGTTACTCCATGGTAGCTACTGTATATAATAGATAATACGTATATACGTATATACATATAACACATATGTATGATAAACAAAGAAAAATAAAAAGTAAGAAACTCAAGATTTTGCTAGGTCCGCTAGGGTTACTAGAGACAGCTATTCAAAAAAAGGTTCCATAATCTGAAAAATGCTAAATTTCTGGTCTTTCTTCCAACCTCAGCTATTTTTTTTTTCTAGGACCAGTTTTTTTCTAGGGACAATAAACAACAATTTAATTTCATCGAGGATCTGTGTTAAAGATTCTATTGTCTGTCCGTTCTGTACCATTTTAGATAGCTTATTCCTATTATAAAAGGCTTTAGTGTGATATTTATCTGCATATAAATTACATAAGCTATACTTAGAAGCAGTCAGTTTACCACATTCTAAACGGGGACGCGTTGACGCCTTTTTCAATGAATAGCACATCCTTCTTGCCGATAGCAAGGCCGTCCACAAACTTTTCCTTCATTAGTAATATACTGACAAATATAAGTTCCTGTCATTGATTATTATTTGTCGAAACTTACTTGATTCCGTATAATATTATCTCAGGTAAAAATATTCAATAATTATTTTCGATTTAAACTTTTTTATCAGGGTAATATATTACAAAAACAGTCTGAGTATACCAACCATGGATACCCAAAATTTCTAAGAAAACATTGATCACGTGTCAGAAATAGAGGTCTTTATCATAATTAATATATAACAGTCAACGATATTATCAATGAACGGAAAGATATCATTATAACTTACATTGATAACAAATAATTATAACCAGTCAGAAAATGCTCCTATATTCAAGCGCGATAAAGAAAATGGGTATTACTTCACAATTTATCTATTCGCCTACTACTGTATATTATCGGGTGAATATGCTTTATTACCTAATTCGCTTCGCCACGATTCCATCACCCATCGGTGAAAAAAGATACTATCTTGTTATATTTGCAACCAGTCCAAATCTTTTCTCTTTCGACTCTAACTTGGTTTAAAATTGATAGAAAGATTTTTTACTCAATCTCTGATGCATCAATTCTTATTATCAGAGAGATATTATCTGTAAGGTATCCTAATTATTATAAAGTTAGTTATACTTTATTTTTACACCACATTTTTAACTAATATCTAGCGAACTCAAGACACTTTATGGCATTTTTTTTAGATTTTCTCTTGAAGCACCAGATCGATCTATACTCGAACATCTTGATTTATATAAAATTCAACCCATATAGAGCACTGTTTTATAATCTTGCGCTTATTGTCGTAAAGTAATTATCTCAAAGTCAGTCGACTTGCGAAAAATCATTAAAGAGAAGTTGATTGCACGATGACTTCTAATTTACCGGGCTTAAGTAAATATAAAACGAAATCATTATATAATAATCGAACTTCATCATTTTCATTAGACAACCGATAGCAGATAAGACAATGGATGTATAACTAGCTAAATAAACTCTTTATATATCCCTATAAATAGAATCTGAACTCTTAATACAAGTTATTTATGACTTTTTCTGATACTATCCGATGAATTACCGCTATTTAGTTTTTGGTAGGCAAATAAAAAGATATCAATCTTGTTGGCAGGTAATAGTGAACACTCTTATAATTAAGAAATGATAAGAAAAAATTACAAGGGATTAAGATTAATAACTATCAAGAAATAAATGAACCTCTATCTCAGTTTTTGGATATTCATTTCGAAATTCAGAAGGAAGATGCAAATAAAAATTCTGCATGAAGGGACTATAGATGCCTGACGAAACCATGTGATGCTAATTGTCACATGTTATTACTTATAAAAATTAGAATTAATTGTTA